ACTGGATAAAGTCAGGTAAATTTTTACTTTTAAATATCTGTGTTTCTGGACCCCATGTTTATCAGCCTCTTCCCTTCTGCCTTCAAAATAACTGGAGATTTGCTTAGAGCTTTTATCAGTTGTGTTCTAGACTTCAGGATTTACACAAGGGGGCATTTGAATGGTAGGCATCTGTATGGCACTGGGTACGAGTGTAAGACACTTCTGCAGAGATGGTTGCCGTTCTTTGGTGCTGACTCTCCTTGTCCCCCAGCTCTGGTTTCTACTCCTGACAATATCACTGAGAGGTTAGACAGTGTGGGACCGAAGATCAAGATCCAGCTCGCGGGCCCGCCTGAGTGCTGGGCTCTCACATGAGTTTGCAGGCTCCGTGGGAAGAAGGGCTCTCAAAGACTGCAGTGACAGCCTTGGTCCACTTAACATTTGTGCCTTGTGCTGAGCTGGGTGGGGTGTTCTTGTATTTCTTGTTGACAGTTGCCTTGTGATTGAGCATCTCAGCATATATTTTATTACCAACTAACCCACTGACTATGTGACATCCCGTAAGTCACTTTTCTGTGGGCCTCGGCTTCTTCACCTGTAAAAGAAAAAGAGGAATTTGGAAGAAATTAGCTTTACTGGTCTCATCCGGTCCTAAGACTACGCATTTATTTAATATATTTATTTTATATATACTTATTATACATTTAATATATTTAGCATATAATGTAATATAATACAATATATAGATTTAATATAAAAGGATTTATGTATTTATTTATTTAGGTTTTGGTGTTTTGTTTTGTTTTTGAGATAGGGTCTCGCTCTGTCACCCAGGCTGGAGTGCAGTGACATGATCATAGTTCATTGCAGTCTTGAACTCAAACAATCTTCCCACCTCAGCCTCTTGAGTAGCTGGGACTACAGGCACACCCCACCAAGCCTGGCTAGCTATTTATATTTATAACTTGCTTTAAAATACAATATTTTGTGGAATCCCCATAATTCCTCATTTACGTATGAGGAACTTGAGTCTTAGACAAGATAAATAACTTGTTATTGTTGTTGTTTTGAGATGCAATCTTGCTTAGTTGCCCAGGCTGGAGTGCAGCGGTGCAACCTTGGCTCACTGCAACCTCCACCTCCTGGATTCAAGTGATTCTCCTGCCTTAGCCTCCCGAATAGCAGGGATTACAAGCATGTACCACCACGACTGGCTAATTTTTGTACTTTTAGTAGAAATGGAGTTTCACCATGTTGGCCAGGCTGGTCTCAAACTCCTGACCTGAAGCGATCCACCCACCTTGGCCTCCCAAAGTGCTGGGATTACAGGTGTGAGCCACCGCGCCTGGCCTAATAACTTGTTTTAAAACATCCACCTAGAAAATGGCCAAACCAGGTCTCAAACACAGTCAGGCTCCTCATTTTCTTAATCACTAACCCATAATGTCTCCGGGGGCCTGGACCAGGAGGAATTCTAACTTCACCCACACCCTTGAGAAAGTGCAGCTTTCTGGCTTCCTCGAACCCCCTTCCTCGCTTCTGCCTTCTCAGAATCTGGACTGCTTTCATCCTCTTTGCATTCTTTCTGACTTCTCCGTGTTCTTTCTCAGCCTTCTCTATCTCTCTTTTTCTCCTTCTCCTATGCCTCCCTCTCTTGGCCTCCTCCCTCCCCTGCCCTCCCTGTCCCCAGTTGAGTGCCAGCCTCTCCTGGAAACATCGCTGGCTTCTGCTGTTATGAAGATGTTGCCACACACTCCTGAGTGAATCTGTGGGTCAGTGAGGGTGGGGAGATGGTGTCCAGATGTGGCCTAATGACCACGTTGCTGGTTTCCAAGCACCGGTGAAGGACGGCCTGTACTGGAATCACCAGTGGTGGGAGAGGGGTGTGATTCATAATGCAGATTCCTGGGCTCCAGTCCATTAGGGTCAGGGTGAAACTTGGTAATCTGTGCTTTTTAAAAAGGCCCCCAAGATGACTGTGATGGGTAGCACTGCCCCCACTTTACTGTTGGGACTTATGCCCCCTAGAGACTATCCCTGAGGGGTAAGCCAGAGAGCAACCAAGTATCCACAGGCGTACCTGGAGGGTTGTCTCAGGTAGAGGCCATGTGTAAAGGTTGTGCAACATCAGTTGGTAAGTTGGACCACTTGCTCCACCTCCATCCTAGATGTCAGTGGTATATCTGGCTCAATAGCAACAACTCCCTGCTCCTGCTACCTTTGGACACGCAGAGTGACATTAAGTCTTCATAGGGAGAATGTGGTGAGTAGAAACATGTTGAAAAGGCTTCTTAGGGGCACAAATATGAAAAAAAAAAGTGTTAGAAAACACTGGTTTATGCAAAAAGGTCTGTGTCTCTGGCTGAGAAGTTATAATTACGCCAAGTGTTCCATATCTTTTCATTCTGCAACTCTGTGCCCAAAGACAAAGGAGTCAAGGTTTGAACTCTCATATCATAGACTCTTCATCTTGTTAACTAAGAATGATCACTTATGGCCTGATTGTGCAGTTGGAGTGAGCTCTCTTCTTTAATTGCATAGCTCTGGTCATTTTTTCCTCTCATTTGGCACTTAGCACTTAGCAAACAGTGACCTGGCATTGTTTGTTTGTATCTGTTCTGTCTTCATAACTAGATTATAAAGCCTTTTATGGTAGAGACTACATGATAATTTGATAGTTTGCTCACTTATTCATCCATCAAACATTTATTGAGCACCTCCAGGCATGGGGCTAGATACTAAAGAGGCAAAGAAGACAAGACATAGTCTCTGACTTCACAGACATCTCCGTAAATAAACAGTTATGAAATGACGTAACCAGCACAATGATACAGATATGTACAAGTTGCAGACAGAAGTATTCTGCCCGGCTGGGAGGAGGCAGTGCTTAAGCTGAACCTTGAAGGAAAAAGGAAGAAGAGGAGTTCTCCAGATATAGATGGTGTAGAGGACAGAAAGAGGATTCCAGGTTGAACTAGAAGCTTCTGATAAGCCTGGGGCAATGGCACATATGGGAAGGGACTGGAAATGAGACCAGGCCAAAGCATAAGGCTCCTTGAAGCTTATTCTAAAGGCATGGATTTTATCTACAAGGCCATGAGATTCCACTGGATAACTTAAATTAGTCAATATTGTGATTAGCTCTCAATTCCCAAAGCTCATCTATCTGTTATTTGGAAAGGAACAGATGAGTATTCAAACCTGATTAGACATGTTTCAATAACTCAGAGTTGGTGATACCTGAACACGGGCAGTGGGTGGAGATGGAGTGGAAAGAACTGCCTGGAAAGTTTACTTGTTGTAAACTTAAAGTATTTATTTATTTATTCTTATTTATTTACTTATTCTGTTTTCTGTTGCTATAATAGAATATCACAGACTGGGTAATTTATAAAGAACAAAAGCTTATTTGACTCACAGCTCTGGAGGCTTGGAAGTCCACGAGCATGGGACCAGCATGTGGTGAGTGAGGGGCATCACAGAAGGCATCACATGGTGAGTGAGTGCATGACAGAGAGAGAGAGAGGGGAAATTGGGCAGAACTCATTCTGTTTATGAGGGACCCACTAAGTATCCACTCCTGTGATAATGGCATTAATCCATTCTTGAGAGCAGAACTGTCATTACCTAATTGCCCCTTAAAGGTCCTACCTTTTAATACTGTCACTATGGCAATATTACATTCCAGCATGAGTCTTGGAGTGGGTATTCAAATCACAGTGAAACTGCCTTTGAAAAAATTATGACAGTGAGAGAAATCTAACCTAACTGACTCCATCTTGCATCTAGACTCACAGGCTGACTGTCCTTGCTCATTCCTGGGTATAGGCCAAGCTAACCGTGGGAGGAATTTAGTTTACAGTGTAACTTTGAAGCAAGAAAGATAACAGTCCCTCCCTAAAACTGACTCTCTCCTTGTTTGGAGACTGAAACTACCTTTGTTTTTCTTGTAGTTTTTTTGTTTGTTTGTTTGTTTGTTTGTTTGAAACAGAGTCTCACTCTATAGCCCAGGCTGGACTGCAGTAGTGCAATCTCTGCTCACTGCAACCTCCGCCTCCTGGGTTCAGGTGATTCTCCTGCCTCAGCCTCCTGAGTAGCTGGGATTACAGGCATGCACCACCATGCTCAGCTAATTTTTGTACTTTTAGTAGAGATGGGGTTTCACCATGTTGGCCAGGCTGGTCTTGAACTCTGGATCTTAAGTGATCCACCTACCACGGCCTCCCCAAGTGCTGGGATTACAGGCGTGAGCCACCCTACCCAGCCTGAAACTACCTTTGTAAGACTAATGAAAGTCCACAAGATTAGGTGATCATGGCTCTCTGCAGCCTTGACCTCCTGGGCTAAAGGGATCCTCCTGCCTCAGCCTCCAGAATAGCTGAGGCTACAGGTACACACCACTGCACCCAGCTAATTTTAAAATAATTTTTTTGTTTTTTTATTGGGTAGAGATGAGGTCTCACCATGTTGCCCAGGCTGGTCTCGAACTCCTGGGCTCAAGCAATCCTCTCACCTCAGCTTCCCAAAATGCTGGAATTACAGGCATGAGTCACTGCATCTAGCCAAATTTCTGGTGTTTATAAGTTACAAGTTTATGGTATTTTGTTATAGTAGCCTGAACAGACTAGTACAGGAGTGAGGTAAGGAAGGTAGTAATGTGGTCAAGGGTTAGCGGGAGGAGAGACAAGAGGGGGACCCTCTAAACATGATCTCTGAGAATGGCAGATGCCCAAGTATTATGCTGGAGAATATGCTTATTTCATTGTTTGTCAACGGTTTGCTGATTACCAATGAACCAGAGCAGAAGACCAGACGGAAACCATGACACCCACCCCACCATAGGTTTGGGCCTCCTCCAAAACCATTTCCTTTCTGTATGTGGATTCAGTGGGCTGGATAGAGAATATAAGTCAGCCGCAGGAGGCTCCCTCCACATTCTAGAGCCTGAGGCGGCCCTGAGTGAATGGTCATTCCTGAGCCTTTTGCTTCTGCCTTTGATCAGACCTACTTCCAGTTCAATGGGAGGCTTTGAGGGTCATCTGTACCCAGGGCTGTCTTTCTTCTTCTATGGACTTTATCATGCACAACTTGTCTCCAGAGCCTTGATATGCAATGCCCCTGTCCAGTATCCACCACGCCATCCCTGGAGCAAAGGAAGATGGGCAAGGCTATGGCAAATATACTACATTGGGTTGCTGAAGATACTGAGTGCCTGCATTTTAGTAGCCCAAGAGATGCACAGCATTCCTAGACAGTTTGTACTTATCAGCAAGATGTATCATCAGAGGAACTTTATGTTCCGCAAACAGTGGCAGCATCTCACTCTCTATATGACTTTCTTGCTGAGTGGGTGTGTAGACATGGTGAGCCAGAACCTGCTGCCTAAGAGATGTGCTGCTCTGGAGCAAGGTGCCCAAGCTCTGGCCATGTTCATATTTCTGCCCCTGATGGTATCTCACCTGCAGGACACAGAAGGAGTGGAGCTTCAGTCTCACGTGCTGCTCACCCAGGCCATGTTCCTGCTGACTCTGGTGGTGACCGCAGAGCTGTGGGCTCCCAACATGCTGCTGCTCTGGACCATGAAGGCCTTTTTGTATATGATCACAGGCTCTTGGCTGATGCACATAGGCTTTATGCTGTTCAAACCAATCTCTGGCTATCAATGGATGGATGATGACAGAAATGACATTATGTTTGTCACCACCTTCTTCTGCTGGCATGTGATCTTCAGTGCCATTTTGATGATCTGGATCTATGGCTTCTCCTTTTGGTGGTATTGCTACATTTTTGTTAAGGCCTGAACCTGGATGTGCCACTATTGGTTCTCATTGCCTGCATACTCCAGGACATCTGCATGAGAAGTTGTGGGAGATGGAGCTGCCGGAGAGGAGAATCCTGCATCCTTCTTTCAGAGGTGTCTCATCCTGAGACATCAGACTTCTCTGGGACAGGCATACCCTCCTTCCCCTTCTGGTTTCTCTCAGTCTCATTTCCTGAGCAGTGTGCAGAGGACAGGAGAATGAAACAAGGCATGCAACTGTGACCCTCACTCTTAGATCCCCAAGTATTTCCTTCCCCTCCCCTCTGTCCTCAATTCCAGCAACAGTAATCTGTGTGCCCTGCACATCTCTGCATCCCTCATTCTCCTCCCATGAGGACATTAAAATAAATTCATGATATCCTGCCTTTGGGTCTTTTTATAAATATCCTTCACCCAGCACATAGAATTCCTACCACTAGTCATATTTAGTACATAATAATCTACCCATTACAATAACCACTTCTTCATTCTTTCTTGTTCTGGACCTCTTCAATTCTCATATTGAAGAGACTGTTTTTGACTCTACAAAAGTCCTAGAATGTTCTTGAGGTCTTTCCTTTGATTACTTTGTGATTTATCAAATGAAACATCGAACCCTTGAAGGTAACTTCTTCTGCAGGATTTTTTGTTTTTGTTTTTGTTTAGACAGGGTCTCACTCAATTGTCCAGTTGGAGTGCAGTGATGCAATCACCACTCACTGCAGCCTCAATCTCCTGGGCTCAAGCAATTCTCCCCTCTCAGCCTCCCCAGTAGCTGGGTCTGCAGGTGCAAACCATCATGCCATGCCCAGCTAATTTTTTATTTTTGTAGAGATGAGTTTTCCCTACGTTGTCCTGGCTGGTCTCGAACTCCTGGGCTCAAGGGATCTGCCTGCTGCTGCCTCCCAAAATGCTGGGATTACAGATGTGAGCCACCATGCCTGGCCCTCTGCAGGGTTTAATAGAGCAAAGCAACACCCTGCATGTAGTGAGAGCTCAGAGGCTCGTCTGCTTCCAGACTTTCTTCAGCCCAGTCTCCCCATGTGTAGAGTCTGGAAAATTCTTCTTCCAGGCCTTTCAACCCATTGCTCTGTACATATCTTATTGATTCCCAAGCAGTAGACTCTTCTGGAACCACTCCTTTCTGGTTCTCATGTATAATAAAGTTCAATGGCTTGTTTATGCTGCATATTTTTCTTTTTAATCCTCACAAATGTCTTATCAGAGAGGTTTAGAGCTGAGTAATCTGAAACTTAAAAGGGTTAAGAAAGTGGCTTAAGGTAGCTAGATACTTAACTATGTCACATAATGCTATAGCTAGGTGTCAAGGAGGGTAGAACGCCAAATAGAGTTAAATTATTGCGGACTTGCAAAGAGCGCCTTCATGCCTCCCCTTCTGCCTCTCCCCTGCCTTTTTTTTTTTTTTTTTTTTTTTTTTTTTGAGGCAGAGTCTTACCAGGCTGGAGTGCAGTGGCACAGTCTCGGCTCATTGCAACCTCTGCCTCCTGGGTTCAAGGGATTCTCCTGCCTTAGCCTCCCAAGTAGCTGGGATTACTAGCTCCCGCCACCACACCAGGCTAATTTTTGTATTTTTAGCAGAGGTGGGGTTTCACCATGTTGGCCAGGCTGGTCTTGAACTCTTGACCTCGTGATCCACCTGGCTTCGACCTCCCAAAGCGCTGGGATTACAGGCATGAGCCACTGTACAGGGCCACTCCCCTGCTTTCTCCAGGACATGAAGAATCTGTCAAGCTTCCCTCACTCCTGACAAAACTAAAGCATCCAGTTAGGACAGAGGAGGGTGAGAGCAGGGACTCTCGAGGGTTATCATCCTTCTTGTTTCCTTTTTTTTTCTAGTTCCTAGAGCAAATGCATCCTTTGGTTCTGGCCTTACTCTTCCTTTTTAATTTTCTCAGTCAAAAGCGAAGGTGCAGCAGGAATGAGTTGTTTGATTGTCAGCGACCTTCACCACCTGGTTTTGGGGGTTGGTGGGCATTCTGAGTTATTGTGGGGGTGCTTCCCAATGTCGTTGAGAGGTGGGGACTCAGCCACGTCTCAGAATGTGGGAGGCATGCGTGTGCTGGATGTTCGGCATGTGACCGGCAGGCAGCTTCCACAGAAAGCTGACACTTGCGTCGTTGGAACGATCAGGCAACAACGCTGCTCCCCGCTGGAGATGAACAGCGGTGCCTGGTGTGGAAATAAAATATGCCTCAGGTGCAGTTTAGCTTCCATGCTTCTCTCTGGTCCTGGGGACCAGTGGAGCTCTGCAGCATCCCCTGTAGGTTCTGCCCTTTTCCTGGTTGTCACCTCTGGCTCCCAGCCCCTTGCTTCTCCCCCACAACCTTGGATATATTTGCCTTGGCCAAGCCTTGCAGCTCCTTCTTCCTCTAGCTTTGTTGAACCTCCTCTAGTACCCTTGAGGCTGAGGGGGCAGGGAATCTGCTCCTCTGTACATGCTTTCCCATTGATATGATAAAGTTGGTTTCTACTTCACTCAGGCCTCCCCCTGACTTTTTTTTTTTTTTTTTTTTTTTTTAAAGACAGGGTTTTGCTCTATCACCCAGGCTGAAATGCAGTGGCACCATCTCAGCTCACTGTAGCCTCGACCTCCTGGCTCAAGCAGTTCTCCTGCCTCAGCTCCCACACAACCCACAAGTCACCCCCAGTAGCTGGGATTACAGGTGGCACCACCACACCCAGCGAATTTTTTTTTTTTTTTTTTTGTAAAGACTGGGTCTTGTCATGTTACCCAGGCTGGTCTCAAACTCCTGGGCTCAAATGATATTCCAGCCTTGGCCTCCCAAAGTGCTATGAGCCACCATGCCTGGCGACACTTCGCCTTTTTGATATTAAGAGCATATTTTAGATTTTTTAACCTAAAATTGACTTCTTGTTTTTTGCTATTATAATCTGACCTCATCTTGATGCAATATCTTTGACTAAATAGAGGAAAAGTCATCTGTAAGGGTTGGGAAGCAAAACCCACCCAAGTATTAGTATTTCAAGATATTATTTCTCCACAAAGATGAAAGTTGAAGAAATACCAAAACCACGTGTTAACCCTTAGACCCGTTCCATTTTGAGCACTTTTGAAGCCTTGTTAAATACTAACAAATTCATCTTTTGTAGTAAATGATTGCCTCTAAATATTATATCTCACAACATGTGTCTTTCAGGTAAAATAATATTAGCAGGGGCCTGCAAAGCCACAAAGAATTATAGTTAAAGCCAGATACGATGGTGGAATAAGCAGATCTACTATTTGGATGATAAGGGCCTTTCTGTACTCCTCATGTCACAGCAGGTGTGAGCACTCTGACAGTGATCCTAATTACTTTGGAAAGTAAAACGAACTGAAGATTATGTTTGGGGAAAAACAAAAACAAAACCTTCAAATTCCAGAGTGGAGTTTTGAAAAGAAAAGTGTAATGTTCAACACCATGCACCAGAGGGCACCATATTTACATGAGCCTGGAAAGGGCACTTGCCCTCCATTTGGTATTGAATGACCCATTTAAACGAAGTGATAGAGGGATAGAGAGAAGAGCAGGAAAAGTATGTAAGTATTGTCCAAGCACCCAGTAAACATCATGTAGTTCTTCTTCCTGTTAAACTTAGATGCATATGACTCAGTACAGAATTCAGTTAACATAGAGATATGTGTGTATATCTCAAAAACCTTTTGGTCACTCACTCTCTGACCATCTGTTTTATTTGGAGTGAAAATGTATTGTGTGAGTCTTGGAGGGACTGTCTCCCACTATGGATGACAGAGGGGACCAGACAGTCCCTCTCTTGGCCCTGGCAGTAAGGACATGGATACCCTGTCCTAGACCAGCAATCAGACCCTCCACCCAGAACTTTTCTTTATGTATGTACATTTATATTTATAAATTCATATTTAATTATATATAATGCATATTTAATTTTTAAAATTAAATATATGATATACAAATTTAATTTTCAAAATTAAATATATGATATATGCATTTAATTTTTATTTTATTTTATTTTATTTTATTTTTTTGAGACTGAGTCTCGCTCAGTCACCCAGGCTGGAGTGCAATGGCGCGATCTCGGCCCACTGCAAGCTCCGCCTCCAGGGTTCACGCCGTTCTCCTGCCTCAGCCTCCCGAGTAGCTGGGACTACAGGCGACCTCCGCCATGCCCGGCTAATTTTTTGCATTTTTAGTAGAGAGATGGGGTTTCACCGTGTTAGCCAGGATGGTCTCGATCTCCTGACCTCGTGATCCACCCGCCTCGGCCTCCCAAAGTACTGGGATTACAGGCGTGAGCCACCCCGCCCGGCCTGCATTTAATTTTTAAAATTAAATATATAATATATAATTAAATATAGAATATATATACATTTAATTTTAAAAATCATTTTTTAATAGAGGTGGGGTCTTACTATGTTGCCCAGGCTGGTCTCAAACTCCTGGACTCAAGTGATCCACCAGCCTCAGCCTCCCAAAATGCTGGGATTACAGGCGTGAGTTACCATGACCAGCCCAAAACTTTTCATCTTGAAGGGAGACTCAGAAGCGCAGGAGCAATGAGAGGTTATACACGGCAGTGCCTATGACAACAAATACTCAATAGTGGTGGTGCTAGCAGTAGTGGCACAATGGGGATAACCACAGATGCTGAAAAAGATGTGTTGTAGTTGAAATTGGCTCTGATTTTTACTGGAGATCGTGTTAACCATCAAAAACAAAATAAGAGTAGTTATCATAATAGGCAGTTGAGCCTGTGCGGATATCTGAATGATCTAACCCATAGATTCTTTGTGGTGGTTATTGGTCATGGGGTTCCTTAAAAAAATGTGTGGTCATTCAATAAGATTCTACTGGAGAGTATAAGCTCTGTGATGGCAAGGATTTTAGACTGTTTATTCAGTGATGCATCCCAAACACCTAGAACAGTTTGTGTCACATAGACATGCCCAATAAATATTTGTTGAGTGAATGAATGAATGAATGAACAGGAGCTTAAAATGAGCCATCGTGGCAGAGAATCAGGCCCCTCATCCAATTTTCAGCCCTGAGTCAGACCTAGAAGCTCTGAAATGAAAAAAACATTTTACCCATTAGGAAGAATCTTGCAATATTTTGCAAGTGTTTACTGTGAATATTCTTCCTAATCTTTGCCAAAGAGACCTGCTGTCATTTCCAGGGTAACTGTGCACTTGGGAAAAGGAGATGCCCAGAGTTTTGCATACC